GACCTGTGTCCCCACTGCTCCCCTTAGCAGTGTATTTCATTGGGTCTGTGTTCTGCTCCCTTCTCTGTCTCTGGTATCTTCTCATCCGCTATACTAGTTCTATGAAAAATAAACTCCAGGGGGCCTCCATCATGGTGAAGGGGTGGAAGTGTGAGCAAACTGAAAGGGAAACAGCTCTTGGTTTACCAGGTCTACTGGCAGGAGTAAAGTGCAAGTTCAGGTGGGGACAGGTGTGGGGGTGCATGTGAGAGGATTTGCTAGAGACAGTGGGGACTAGAATCTCCTGAAATACTGCTGAAGGGAGCAGTGGGCAAGACAGGTCTGCTGTGCCCTGTGTGTCAGCCACTGGGCAGGAGCCGCAAATCGTGTCCTCATGTGGTGGTCAGCTGGAGAGCGCAGGTTTTACTCCTGTGCCACCAGGAGGCAGTTTCCAGGAGTGTCCGTAGTTAAGCTCGTTTCTGTATCCTTGGTATTTAACACACAACTGAAATTGCTCCGTGACACAGCGGGCCCTCTTCATCCAGCCTTGTCTTGCGCGTGAAGCGCCCAGAGTGGCCCACAGGTCACAGGTAGGTGGCCAGGGTCAGAGCTCTTTGCATTTTATACCCAAGGTTGGGAGAACCTTGGGTTCTCCCAACATGCTGCTGCTGAGTTAAATAAGCAAAGTAGTGCCAGCACTCTAGCCCAGAGGTGCAGACCCCAGCCACTCGGTGTTGCAGTTCCTGGGCTCAGGGTAGGGGGTGAGGCCTTGTGGCCCTCAAGACCTCATCCCGGACCCTCCTCTGAGGCCCAGGTTATGCCTGCAGACCTTGCCTCCTTGCTGAGTTTCTGTAGTCCCAACACCCCCCATCCCCACATGTGGGGCTCCCTTAGTGGGTCTCCACCTCCCTTAGCCCCTACCAGTCTTCCCTGTCTCCTGTTGGCAGCTGCAACCTGCCCTGGCTGTTCACCAGTGCCACCACCTGGCTCTCCCACTTAAAATACCACCTGCTGGCCCTGTGGATGGAGCCTGCCGCACCCCCCTGTCCTTCCCATGGGTTGTGCCAGCACCTCGGTGCTTGGCCACTTTGAGTGCGGAGACAGCCTCGCCGGCCCCTTTTCCCCACCCCTCTCTGGGCTTGGGACAGCGCCCTGGGTGCGCGCCCTCCCCATCCCGGACGCGGCTGCAGGCCTCGCCCTGGCCTCGGGTTCAGCTTCCCGTAGCCGCCAGAGGGCGGCTGTGTGCGCCAAGGCGGCAGCGCGGGGAGAAGGCCACCTTGCCCACGGACCCCCACCACCTCTTGCTGCCGGCCCCTCCCCAGCCCCACACCCCCTTGCCCGGCACTTTCTCCTGCCTCCAGCTGGCGAATCACCGCCTGGCGTCCTCGGCCGCCCACAGCAGGGGTTTGGCTGTTGTTCATTTGTACAATAGCTGCTGGACGTTGAGTGCAGGAAGGGCTGCTTGGAAGGCCGTCAGCCCCTCAGGGGTCCCGAGTGGCCGAGCTGGCGGGCAGGGGCGCCTCCCTCAGCCCCTGCCAGCGCCCCACTCCACGGAACCACTCCTACCTGGAGTCGCACTGCCCCGCCACCCCTCGAAGCCCTCCAGTCCCCAAGTGAGACCCCCAAGCCCCGCCTCTGATCCAACGGGACCCCTTCCCCAACTGTCCCACCCAGCGCTTCCCGTCTTCCTCTGGTCACGCCGTCCCCGCCCCATCTCGGGGTCTGGGATCTTCTCGCGCTGCCCGCCAGCCTTCTCGCTCTCGCGAGATTCCCGCTCAGTCCCGCAGTGCTCCCCGCGGCCCCCCTCAGTCACCGCCTTCCCGGAGTCGCCACCGCCCTGGCCCCACAGTGTGCCCGGTCCCCGCCCCTCCTCCTGCACAGGCGCAGGGAGTCGCTGGCAGTTTCACCACCACCAATCCCCCACCCCCACCGCACCCCCCAACCCTGTGGACGAGGGGCGGGGAGCAGACTGGTCCGAGACGGCCACGGCTCCATGGGGCTCCTGGGGCTCCTGAGCCTGCTGCACTCGGCCTTCTTCGGGGACCAGGTAGGGCTTGGGGATCAGGGCCTAGGGGTGCTGGGGCCTGCTCTGGGCGTGGCTGGGACAGAAAAATCACAGCTAGGGGTGGGGTGTGCACCGCGAGCCTTGGCCCCGGGGGCTTGGGAGGCATGGGCTCGTGCACGGACGCTCCCCGCCCGGTGTCGCCACAGTAGTCCTGGAGACTTGCTAGGAAGACAACCTCGGACGCGCTCAGGGCCGCGAGACCCCGCCTCACCGCAGCGGGTCTGCATGATGTGCAACTGCTTGGGGCCCAGTTGTGGCTCTCTGAGGGAGACAGTCAAACCCCTCCCCATTGTGTGGACTAGACACTGGGGCAGGCAGGGTTGCATTGTGCCGGAGTTCCACCCAGGACAGGCTGTTAGGGGTCAGGGCCACGCCCTGCCTTTCTCCACAATTCGGTTTATCTCCTGGACATCAAGCATGGGCGATTCTGACATTAGTCTGATTTCTTCCAGTAGCCATCCCACTGGGCCTGGGCGCTGTGCAGGCCTTCATAGTTGTCTAAATATTAGAACTGTAACATCTGGTACCTAAGCAGACAACTTTGGGGTGCAGCGGGGAGCCCAAGGTCATTCCTGGAGCAGAACCAAAGCCTGAGATGAGGCTGAGCCTGGTTGGAGCCGGCCTACGAGAATGCGGCCTGGAGAGCTGTCCGCGGTGCTGACGGGACCTTGCGCGGGACGGCTCTAAGATGCTCTCCATCTTCCCCGCCCTCCCAAGCGAGTTCAGAACCCTGTTCTGGTGACCCATCCAGGGTCGGATTTCAGGGGCGACCCCTGCTTCTCCCCATATGCAGTGACTTTCCTTCCTTACCTATCAGGGTCCTCCCGGTCACAGTGAGAGTCCACATCTGTGCTGGGGCATGTCCTGGTGACTGTCTCCTTCCATCACCATCCAGCTCCATGTGGGGGCTCCCCTGGCCCGCCTCTGAGCTGCCTGTAAGCAGAGGTTCTGTGGAGAAGAGTGAGGCGTCATGGGGGTAGACACCCAAGGTTAAATTCAGAAGGCCCAAAAACTGCCAGTGACCCAGGTTGTGTGCTGGGGCTGGGGAGAATGGGGGTGGCATGAGAAGTGAACCCTGGGGATTCGACTTTCCCCTGGAGAATTCACTAGTTGTTGGGGGCAAGGAGGATCCCAGGGACGGAACCTGGACAGGCCCTCCCCCAGTCCTGGGCACCCTGCAGTGGGAGACTTTCTCAGACCCTTGAGGTTCGGTCTGGGTCCTCGGGGGCAATAGGGATTCTAAAGCTCCAGAATTTCCAGTGATGCCTGAGACTGCTATGGTTCAGAGACCTAAGGGGTGAAGGATTGTGGGGGGGATGTCAGCACTTGATATTTCAAGATGAGTACAAAGACGTCTTGCCATGGGGTCTCACTCAGCTCCCATGTGCCCTCAGCCTGCAGGTCTCAGCCACACCAGAGAGGTGGGGGAGGCAGGGTCACTCCAGGGCCTGGTGGTGCTCCTGTGTGAACTCAGTGTGCTCCCTGACCTGAGCCTCCCTATGTGGAAGAGGCTGGAATGACCACTGGATTCCCCATGTCCCCTTTAGCACTAAGGGTCGGCTAAGAAGGACCCAGGGAACAATTACATCTGAGGCCAAATAGGGGAGGTGAAAGCGCCATGGGGTGCTGGAGCAGGATTATCCCAGCAGCCTGACTCCAGCGAATCAGGTGGGAAACCGAAGCAAGAGAGCCGTGTCCAAGATGACACCGAAATCAAGATAGGGCTGAAATCAGCTCTGTGCTGTTTTCTCCCATGCCAGCTTTGCCCAGATTCCCCCATTGTGAGCTCAGCTCTGCGAGTCCAAACCACTGTCCACTGTACTCCAGGGCCCAACCAGAGCCCTCGGTGGCTCTGGTTTCTAGGCTTTGCGCATGATGTTCCCTTAGCTTGGATACTGTTCTCCTCCTTGATCATGTGGCCAAACCATTCACCTGAAAGAGTTCCAGCCCCCCATACCCTCCTCAGTGCAGTCTTCCCAGCCTCCAGGAAAAGCCCTCCGCCCCTGCCCCTGGCCTGTGCCCCACAGCCTGGGCATGGTTGTCTTGCTGCAGAGCTCCTGGACGGGCAGGCTTGAGTCAGAGGCCCCCAGCATTTCTGGTCCAAGGATGGGTCCCCAAGCCGGCCTTTGCAAAGACTAAACCACCTCCCCACTTTACAGAGGGGGAAACAGAGGGTCGGGTGGCAGCCGGGGAGCATGGAGGATCTGAGACTGCGGGGATGTGTATCCAGGGGAGCCCACGCCCCTCCACCCGCTGGCTTCCTTTCTGTGTTGCTGAATTAGGGATGGGACGCAGGACTGAAACACAGGAGAGAGATTGAAAGATAAAGACCCAGGGACAAAGGGTTTGGAAGGGACAGTCATGTCACATGTCCACGGAGGAGCTAATGCTCTGCGGGTTGGGGGTGGAGGGGAAATGAAGGGTCCCAAGCGTTCCCTAGTGTGTTCGCCCACTCCAGCACCAGGCAGGACCCTCAGGGGGGTTCAGCCTGGTTCCTATGCCACATCCCGCCCTGCCCCCCCCAACAGGCCGGACAGGACCCTCGGGGAGGTGGCTGGCCTGGCCCCTCGCCCTTCCCGGAGAGCTTCCCTCCCCCAACCCGTATTCTGATGCAACACCCAAGCCTGATGTTTTACTCTCAAATTCTGTGAATCCAGCAGCGGTGGGTTCTAAAGAGGCAGTTTCACCTCAGAGGTGCGGTGGGGAACTCGGGATCCCGGTCGCCCCCATCCCGTGGGGGGCTCACCCCCCACATACCCAGCCCCAGAACCCGCGCGAAGGTCCGACGCCCCGAGGCCGCAGCCAGATCCCGCCCCGGGCAGCCATTGGCTGTTGCCATGGCACCCGCTCGTCTTCCCGCGCGCCATTGGCCGCCACGCCTGCATCCCGCATCCGCCTCCCGGGCGCTTGGCTTCGCCCAGCGCGGGGAGCGGCCGCGCTGCCTGGTCAGGCCCAGCTCCGGCTTTGTCCTCCCCGGAGCCCTCTGCCCGCGCCGTGGAGACCCCGGAGTCCCGGTGCCCGCGCCCCGCAGCCGCCCTGGCCCAGGACGGCTGGGATCTCGGGCGGGGTCCGCCGAGCTGCGTCAAGGGAGGAGGACCCAGGCCTCGCGGCGCCTCCGTCAGTCCAGCCCCAGGGAGCTCAAGTAAGCGAGTGGGCTTGCCCTGGGTTGGAGGCGCGACTTCCGTGGCTTGCCCGTCTCCTTGTGTCTTGCCTGCCAGCACACACTGGAGAGTCTGGTTGACCCAGGGTGGAGCCAGAGGAGAGCCCCAGGGAGGGGTCAGCGTGGCAGCAGCCGGTCCCCCACCCCCCACACACCCACTTGCAGGATCGGCAGGCAGGCCTGCTGTGTGCCTTCGGGGTGATGCTGCACCTCTCCGGACAGCTGTTTCTCTCACTAAAGTGGAGGTTTGGATTAAAGGAAAGAGGAGTCCTCAGGGCCACAACTTGTGTCACCCTCCCCAGAAATTCAGCTACTCACAGCTCTAGCAAATGAACCCCCAGATACTGGTACTTTCTCCTCGGTGATGAGGGTCTCTCAGGGAAGCCCCATACACAACCTGGGAGTGAGGGGCAGGCAGGAGGACTTCCTGGAGGAAGTTGCACAGTGAAGGATGGCAAGAGACAGGAAAGTGCTCCAGGCTCAACTACCTGACAGAGGCTCTAGAGATGGTGCTGAGGTGGGGTATGTGTGGAGGAGTCGGGGCTTATCTAGAGGCACTGGGGGCTCTGGGACGGTTAGGAGTGGGGCAGAGAATGGACTCCTCCCAGTGACCGTCAGAGCTCCCCCTGGCCGTGTATGAGGCTGGGAAGAGGCCAGCGGGTGACGCTGCCCTGATTAGAGGGGTTGAGAGCTGGGGGAGGGAGGGTTCCGCTGTGCAGGGCTGGAGGGCTGGTAGAGTAGAGGATGCCAGGCTGGAATGAGGGGGAGCTTGGTGCTGACCCTGCTGCCTAATGGGGCGCAGGAATAGCCACTGCACGTGAGGAAGTGAATGTGGTAGAGGCTCGGCCTGGGCTGTTTAAAGAGGAGCTGGTGGGAGGGGTGTGGCCAGCTCTAGTGGGGGCTCCGGGAGGGTCTGGGTTTGGAGTGAGTGGGCATGGTGGGGAGCAGCATGTCTCACCTCGTGCCCCCTGGGTGGGCATGCCGCAGTGGCATCAGTCAGGCATGCCTGAGTGGCTCCACTCAGGCCCTAGGCCTCTTGCTACAACCTGGACTGGACCCCAGCTGGGAGCCCTGACCAGCATCCAGGTTGGAGGCAGCAGCCCGCAGATGGCCAGCCTCCCCATCTGTCACGCTGTCTCCTTCCCCGGCCCTCCCGCCTGCCCTGTGACTTCTGGTTCCCTCTGTCTGCCTCCAGGGTGGGTCTGTCAAGCCAACTTCTTCCTGAGCCTCGGTGAGGCAAACGGAAGGCACCGGATAGTAGGCCTGTGTGCTCCCGCCCTGCCCAGCCCTGGGCACCTCTGGGAGCAGCGTCAGGGTCCTGGTCATGTGTGTGCGCCTCCTAACTGGCCTCTGGAAGACAGTTTCTACCTCTAGGAATGGCTTCATGGCTGTCCGGCTCAGGACGGTGCCGGAGCCAGCATATGCGATGGCTGACCTCTCCCCCGCCCTGGGCTGCGCCTACCCTGCCCCGGCCCAGAGTGCCCTTCTGGGAGGGTTCTGGGGTAGGAGAGAGAAGAGGGTGCATGGTGGGTGGGGGGTGAGGGGGTGTCAGGCCCCCGCCACACTTGGGCAGGGGACAGCTGGCCTATCTGGGGAGCAGGCTCAGGCAGGTAGGGGAGGCGGCCCCCAGAAAGGAGGTGCCAGCACATAGACTGCCATTGGCCGCCTCAGACAAAGACGGAGGGAGGGGGAGCCGGGGTGGGAAGGAACAAAGGGGAGGAGGGCTGGCAGCCATGGAGCGAGGGCTGGCTGGACGGGGCTGGCCTGAGGGAGGCTAGGCCAGAGTGTGAAGGCCGGTGGGCCCCCAGGGGCTACAGGAGGGCTGACCCAGACGGTGCCAGACTCACAGATGGCTGAACTGGCATCCAGCTGGGGCTGGAGGGGCGTGGGGGGGGGCAACAGGGCTCTCCGGTTGAGCCTCCAGGCTGGCCACGGTGAGCTCAGTTTTGCCTATCCTGCAGGGCTCTACTGTCCATCACGTTTTACTGTCCATTGACTGGGCCAGTCTGTGGCCTGTCTCTGGGCAGCTGTGCTTCCTCAGGGGAGGGCCCTGGCTGTCACTGTCTTGCTGGCTCCGGCTGAGCGTGTCTGCGAGCCTGGTGGTACTGGGTGGCTGGTTCACGTGTTGGCTGGCACAATGGGACCTTCCGTCTGATGGCTGGTCAGTGTGCTGGAGCTCGGCAGCGGCCAGAACCTGGCCCTCGGGCGTCTGCCTGTGTCTGAACTCGTCCCGAGGCTGTGTCTGTTTGCCGGTGTCCGTGAGTGTTGCGCTTGCCACACGCCACACCACCACCGCCCCATGTCCCCACCTGCAGCTGCAGCCAGGGGTCGGGGCCAGCGCTTCCCAGACCCTGGGTGGTGAACCTTCTCTGTGGCCTCAGGCACTGCAGGAGCTGAAGATGATGAGCTCTGTGGCCCCCTATGAGCAGCTGGCCCGGCAGGTGGAGGCCTTGAAGGCCGAGAACAGTCACCTGAGGCAGGAGCTGCGGGACAACTCCAGCCACCTGTCCAAGCTGGAGACGGAGACGTGTGGCATGAAGGTGGGCAGTGCAGGGCGGGCATGGGCTGGGGCCCCCGGCACAGGCAGTGGGCATTCACCTCACACATGGGTGGGCGGGCAGGGCTGGGGCATGTCACAGGGAGAGGGCGGGCCTGGGAAGTCCAGGCCAGTGGGCCAGTGCCCATGGCTCTGTCTCGCCCCCCCCCCCAGGAGGTCCTGAAGCATTTGCAGGGCAAGCTGGAGCAGGAGGCCCGGGTGCTGGTGTCCTCGGGGCAGACTGAGGTGTTGGAGCAGCTGAAAGGTTAGGAGCCAGTCTTGGCGGGCCCTGCCGCCTGGGCCATTCTCAGCGAAAGCTGGAAGGGGGCGGGGCAGGCAGAGGTGCTGACCTTCACCCCTCCCTCCCTTGCAGCCCTACAGATGGACATCACCAGCCTGTACAACCTCAAGTTCCAGCCCCCAGCCCTGGACCCTGAGCCCACTGCCCAGACCCCTGAGAAGAGTCCAGTGCACAGCTCTGGGCCTTCCAAGGACAGCTTTGGGGAGCTGAGTCGGGCCACCATCCGGCTGCTGGAGGAACTGGACCGGGAGAGGTGAGGCCAAGTCACCCACTGACCTGCCGGCATGTGCTCTGCTTCTCCTCAGCCTGTCCCACCCACCTGTTTGTGACCCCTCCTCTCCGCTCCCTCTCCTGGCCCAGCTGATCTCCCTTGGGGAAGGGGGCTGGTGGGATGCATTAATGGCGGGGCAAGGGTACCTAGGAGATGCCCCAGGGGTTCCCGACTTAGGGGCTCCAAGGCTGAGTCAGGCTGCAGCCAGAGGGGCTCAAGGAGAAGGCTGCAGCCCCAGAAACCTGGGCCTGGAGGCCAGATGAGCTCGGAGGGGCTGGAGCAGGCTAGAACGTCCCTAGTGCTCTGCTGTGTGACCTGGGGCAAATCCTGTTGCAGACCCTGCCGAGGGGAGGCAGGTGGGCTAGCACTGGCTGGCTCCCCCGTGTTGAGGGGACTGTGTAGCTGGAGCAAGCTGAGCCTGAAGTTCATGCTGTGCAGGGCAGAGGGAGACCAGGGAGTGCTGGCGAGTGAGGACACCTCAGTCTTTCTTCCAGGACAGTAATTAACAAACCCTCCCCCTCCCCCCAGTTAATCCCAACTCCCATCCCTGGCCCTCAAGTACTGGGAGTGCCCAGGCAACACGTTGCTGTTTCTGGATTTTGGGGTTCCTAGATGCTTCTGGGGCCCTTGGCTCTTGACCGTGGCTATGAAAGCAGCTTCCGAGCAGAAGCAAACACTTGTCTAGAGACAGACAAATGTGCCCCCTTGCCAGGCAGTGGGAGCAACTGTAAGGAAAGGCAGGGGGGCTTGGGGTGCAGGAGGCTGGCATGTCACCCCTTCCTGGGATGTGCTGTGTAGATGCCCCCAGGTGCTGGCTCATCAATCTAGGGAGCAGTTTCTAAGCCACTGTGCCCCTGGGGTATAGTTTTATCAGTCCCGGCAATGGGTGGGGGGCTCGGGGGTATCTGACTTCCCCACTTTGCGCCCTCTTGCTCTCCTCAGGCCTGACCCATCTGTCTGTAGGTTGGGGGGGCACTGCCGTCCCCCCTGGGTGTTTCTTGGCTCTCCCCTGGCTATATCGGCTCTGGCAAGTGTTTCCTGGGGCCCTGGGCATGGCTGGCCGATTATTTCTGTTTCAGGCATTGCCTTCCCTGTTCAAACACTGCCACTCAGCGCAGGCACACTTAGGCCCCAACAGCTGGTCACAAGTGCCTCGAAGCACGTGCACTGCGGCTTCGCACACTGCGCCCCAGCACTGTGCGCCCCGGCACTGTGCGCCCCGGCACTGTGCGCCCCGGCACTGTGCGGCCCGGCACTGTGCGCCCCGGCACTGTGCGCCCCGGCACTGTGCGCCCCAGCTCAGCGCTCGCCCTCCCCAGGTGTTTCCTGCTGAGCGAGATTGAGAAAGAGGAGAAGGAGAAGCTCTGGTATTACTCGCAGTTGCAGGGCTTGTCCAAGCGCCTGGACGAGCTCCCGCACGTAGAGACGGTGAGCCGTGGGGCGTCCGCGCTCAGGGCGAGGGGAACGCGGCCGGCAGCCGGGCGCCTCTTACCGCGGGCCCCCCCGCCCCTCCCAGCAGTTCTCGATGCAGATGGACCTGATCCGCCAGCAGCTGGAGTTCGAGGCCCAGCACATCCGCGCGCTGATGGAGGAGCGCTTCGGCACCTCGGACGAGATGGTGCAGCGCGCACAGGTGCGCGGGGAGCGGGGCCGGGGC